AAAGTCGAGGCCAAAAGATCTCTGACAAATGACCATTCTGTATTGTGATTTTAAAAAATTGTGTTTAACTTTTTTTTTAACACATCGGCTATCTCCTACCAAGGTACGGTGACCAATAAAGTAAGAAACGTTCACCATCATTCACACACCATCACCGTCTTTGCAGAGGTGCCCAGATACGACAGTTTAGATGTCACTCCAAACAGCCAATATTCCAACCCCACTCCTTTAAAGTGCAGGCACTGCACTTCCCACTTCCAGGACTCAAGTCCAGCTAACCAGTTTCCCTGAATCCCTTCACAAAATATTACCCTGTTCACACTCCGAACAGCTTGTCAGGCCTGAAAAATCATTTGTCTCCAATCACTCCCAACATGCTCACACATGCCTGCTGCACGTCCAGGCCCATTGCACACAAAACCTCTTTTACCCCCTCCCTCCATCCATTCCTAGGACAACCCCTACCCCTCCTCCCCTCCACTATAAATTTACACACTCCAATTCATTCTGTTTTGCTCCATCCTCCCTACATGACCAAACCATTTGAACAACCCCTCTCCAGCCCTCTGAATAATACACTGCCTCCTAATTTTCACACATATTCTCTGCATAATATTTACACCACAAATTGCCCTTGGACATGACATCTCCACTGCCTCCAGCCTCTTCGCTGCAGTATTCACAGCTCATGTTTCATATCCATACAAGTGTATTGGTAACACTATACTCTCATACATTACCTTCTTTGTCACCATGGATGACTTTTTTTTTTTTTTATGTCTCCACAGACACCTCAATGCAATACTCACCTTTTTTCCTTCAATTCTAGAGTTAACCTTGCCCTTCATAAACCCATCCACTGACAAATCTACTCCCAAATATCTGAAGATATTTACTTCTTCCATACTCCCTCCCTCCAATGTGATATCCAGTTTTTCTTTGCCAAAATCATATGATACCCTCATCACCTTACTCTTACCTATGTTCATTTCAACTTAGTTTACACGCCCTCCCAAACTCATCCACTAACGTTTGCAACTTCTTTTTAGAATCTCCCAAAAAGCAAAGTATCATCAGCAAAAAGTAAACGTGTCAACTCCCGTTTCGTATTCGATTCCCCATAATTTAATCCGAATTCACTCCCCAACACCCTAGCTTTTACTTCTTTTACAACTCCATCCATATGTTAAACAACCATGGTGACATTACACATCCCTAAGGCCTACTTTTATTGGAAAGTAATCTCCCTCTCTCCTACACACCCTAACCTGAGCCTCACTATCCTCAAAAACTTTTTACAGCATTTAGCAACTTACTACCTATTCCATACACTTGCAACATTTGCCACATTGCCCCCCTATCATATGCCTTTTCTAAATCCATAAATGCAATGAAACCATCCCTACCTGTATCTAAATATTGTTCACATATGTGCTTAAATGTAAACACTTGATCTACACATCCCCTACCCATTCTAAAGCCTCCTTGTTCATCTGCAATCCTGCTCTCTGTCTTACCTGTAATTCTTTCAATAATAACCCTTCCATACACTTCACCTGGTAGCATACTCCATAAACTTCTTCCCCTATAATTTTTACAAACTCTTTTGTCCCTGTTTCACTTATTTTTTTTTTTTTCAACAAGTCGGCCGTCTCCCACCGAGGCAGGGTGACCCAAAAAAGAAAGAAAATCCCCAAAAAGAAAATACTTTCATCATCATTCAACACTTTCACCACACTCACACATTATCACTGTTTTTGCAGAGGTGCTCAGAACACAACAGTTTAGAAGCATATACATATAAAGATACACAACATATCCCTCCAAACTGCCAATATCCCAAACCTCTCCTTTAAAGCGCAGGCATTGTACTTCCCATTTCCAGGACTCAAGTCCGACTATATGAAAATAACCGGTTTCCCTGAATCCCTTCACTAAATATTACCCTGCTCACACTCCAACAGATCGTCAGGTCCCAAGTACCATTCGTCTCCATTCACTCCTATCTAACACGCTCACGCACGCTTGCTGGAAGTCCAAGCCCCTTGCCCACAAAACCTCCTTTACCCCCTCTCTCCAACCCTTTCAAGGACGACCCCTACCCCGCCTTCCTTCCCCTATAGATTTAAATGCTTTCCATGTCATTCTACTTTGATCCATTCTCTCTAAATGACCAAACCACCTCAACAACCCCTCTTCTGCCCTCTGACTAATGCTTTTATTAACTCCACACCTTCTCCTAATTTCCACACTCCGAATTTTCTGCATAATATTTACACCACACATTGCCCTTAGACAGGACATCTCCACTGCCTCCAACCGTCTCCTCGCTGCTGCATTTACCACCCAAGCTTCACATCCATATAAGAGTGTTGGTACTACTATACTTTCATACATTCCCTTCTTTGCCTCCATAGATAACATTTGACTCCACATATACCTCAACGCACCACTCACCTTTTTTCCCTCATCAATTCTATGATTAACCTCATCCTTCATAAATTCATCCGCCGACACGTCAACTCCCAAGTATCTGAAAACATTCACTTCTTCCATACTCCTCCTCCCCAATTTGATATCCAATTTTTCTTTATCTAAATCATTTGATACCCTCATCACCTTACTCTTTTCTATGTTCACTTTCAACTTTCTACCTTTACACACATTCCCAAACTCATTCACTAACCTTTGCAATTTTTCTTTAGAATCTCCCATAAGCACAGTATCATCAGCAAAAAGTAACTGTGTCAATTCCCATTTTGAATTTGATTCCCCATAATTTAATCCCACCCCTCTCCCGAACACCCTAGCTAGCATTTACTTCTTTTACAACCCCATCTATAAATATATTAAACAACCATGGTGACATTACACATCCCTGTCTAAGACCTACTTTTACCAGGAAGTAGTCTCCCTCTCTTCTACGCACCCTAACCTGAGCCTCACTATCCTCATAAAAGCTCTTTACAGCATTTAGTAACTTACCAATTATTCCATATACTTGCAACATCTGCCACATTGCTCCTCTATCCACTCTATCATATGCCTTTTCTAAATCCATAAATGCAATAAAAACTTCCCTACCTTTATCTAAATACTGTTCACATATATGCTTCAATGTAAACACTTGATCTACACATCCCCTACCAACTCTGAAGCCTCCTTGCTCATCTGCAATTCTACATTCTGTCTTACCTCTAATTCTTTCAATTATAACCCTACTGTATACTTTTCCTGGTATACTCAGTAAACTTATTCCTCTACAATTTTTACAATCTCTTTTGTCCCCTTTCCTTTTATATAAATATAAATATATATATAAATATATATAAATATAATACTTATATAAAGGAATTATACACTCTCTGCCAATCCCTAGGTACCCTCTTTCAAATAATAGAATTAAATATAACAAAATGGGGAAGTGAAACAGAATTCTTCCTCCGTAAGCCATGCGTGTCATAAGAGGCAGCTAAAATGCTGGGAGCAATGGACTAGTAATCCCTTCTCCTGTATACATTACTGAATTTAAAAAGAGAAACTTTTGGTTGTTCTTTTTAGGTCACCCTGCCCTGGTGGGATATGGCCAGTTTGATGAAAAAAAAAATAAAACCAAACACAATGAAACTGGTCCAGCAATTACAACATTATGAAAGTGTGAAGTTGAAGGCTATGGAGAACTTAACAGGAACAGCTGGTCTTGCCACATGGTGCCTAATGTTTCCTTTTTTGTAATTTGTATATAGTTTTGGTTTGTTTTAAATTATAAACACTAAAACTTGGTTTTCTAAAGAAGTGGATGTGTTGAGTGTTTTCATAATAAAATTTTGTTGCACAAAATTCCAAAAAACAGTAAGTTTATATACACTCACTCAACCTTAGAAAGTTTCCATCTGCTTCAGTTTTTATGAATATAGTTGTGTCCGGAAGTACACGGCCAAATAAATAATGAAGAAAATAATGAATATACTGTGCATGAAAAATTAGGTCAGAACTTAGTATAAAAACTAATTTTTCAGGAATGCATTATCTTTGTAATTTAAGGATTGCTGCAGCATAATGACATTGTCTGTAGCTACCAACTTAAGAAATGGTATACAGGAATAAATGCTGGATTTTTTATAGGAACATTCTGATGCTAGTAATAACTTTGTAGGTATTCTAATGACTCTCTCTCTTGATGTATATGCACTGAGAGGAATACTGAATATACACTTGGAGATGTACTACATCTCACGAAGTCTCCATCACGGGATTACTTTAGTAACTTTGTCAGTGATTACAGCATCCTTCACTGGTGATGTACAGGTGACACACAGCCTTACTGACTTTGTGTAATCATAGGTATTAAGCCCAAAAAACAATAATGATGATAAAGCTAAGAATGCACCATGTGCAACTTTGAGTACTGCCTTGGATAGTTAAAATACATTTGAACTGTTGCTGTTACAAAACAATGAAGTCTCCACTATTCAGCAGGATAACATAATTCAATGACTTGATAATTATTAAAACAGAGGAAAGTAACCAGTGAAGAAACTTTCTTTGAACTGGTACATACCATAACTCTTCTGCACTCTCATTAGCCATTACTTAAAGATGCTACACTATTATACACATATCAGAAGTATCTACTTCATAAACACAACATGTAAACAAAGCCATTCAAATGCTTCTTTATGTTTCTGTAGACATGCTAATCAAGTTAAAATAAAGCACAAAATATTTAAGCAAAATAATGCTGTGAAATGTACAATACAATAAAACACTAAGACCTATTTAACATCAAGCAGAATGCTGCATATGAAAAGTATATAATGCACATATTCTCTGCATAAATAGGAACAGCACATGCATGCTAGCAACAAGCACATAAGTGCTGGTCACATGCAAAATTATACTGCACAGCCACTGATGTCCATCGCCAGTCTGCATAAGGAGCTGGGAAGTCATAGGATTAAGTAAAACAGGATGTTGAGTATGGAGAGTAGAAAGCTTACACAGGTTGTCCTTGGGCTCCGAAGACCTACCACAAGTGTCCGTCCCTTCCCCTTCTCCGTCTGGAACCAGCAAGTTTATTGATTAGGTTTCGCACCTTCAAAAACAGCATACTATTTCTCTATCACAAACAAATTGTAAAACAGCACTAAAGGAATGTATACTGACACCACACAAATATTAACAATGCAAACCCCATTATAAATGCTTAAGTTCATAACCATGCATATTAAATTATTTTTTCTATACAAATTTTTTTTTAAACAATGCCAATAAATTCCTAGAAAATACTAAAATGAATATTAAAATGAAGCTTCATGATTAAAATTTAGGGCACAATAATAATAATAAAAACAACAATAGGAGTGTTTAACCTGTAAGGGTTCTACAGCTCCTGGGAAAATGGGAGGCATTCAGGTTCAATCCAAGGAAAAGAGAAGCCCACAGCCAGGATTGGGGAACCTCCCATGAGGGAAAATTGCAATATATTTCAGATGTATTTCAGTTGCTGTATGATCCAAAGAAAGGTATCCTCATATTCCATAACTTGATTGCCCTGTGCCTCAATGCAGAGTGCAACATAAACTGACAATGCAGTTAAATATTAGCACTAAGATTGGTAGGGAATCAGAAGAGGCAGTCACAAATGATATTTAAACTAATATCAAATTTCACCAATAAAAATAGCAAATTAGAATATCATAGTTCAAATCTAATTCAAGCCTTTCAAAGAGATCAACATCCTATAAAGACAAAAATAAAGATGAAAAATAATGGTTCCAAATAAAACTGAACAGATAAGTGGTTGCTTCAATTCAACCTTAGCAAATGCAAGAAGACTGGACACAAAGTATAAAGTTTGGGGACAGACAATACAGACAACACACACAGAACAACATAGGGGTGATAATAGTGCCCTATATATTGCCAAAGGCTCACATCAGCAGAATAACACCTGTAACCAATGCCTGTCTGGAAAATCTTAAAAGACTTCAAGAGTCTCGGAAGAGTCATTCCAGGCACTTTGTGCCACACGTGTCAGGCCCATCTTGGAGTATGCAGCACCAATATGAAACCCACACCTGAAAAAACCTGTTAAAAACCTGGAGAAAAGAGCAAAACTTTGCAATGAGGTCTGTACTAGCAGCCAAGGGCACATGAGCTACATGGGAGGCTAATGGAATAGAATCTAATGACAATGAAGGAGAGAAGAACCAGAGGAGATATTAGATTTTGATTTAAATTTCTTACAAAATACTCAAGAGAAAATGACTGAGTAGACAGGGAAAGGCTGTTTGAGAGGTAAGAAACAGCTACTAGGGGCAGGCACCCAGAGGTTAAGAATACAGATGAGCCATAGGGATGTCAAGAAGTATTTCTTTAGTCAGAGAGATCAACTGTGGTGGTGAAGGTAGGCTCCATACATAATTTTTAAAAGCAGGTACAACAGGGGCTAAGAGCAAATGAATCTGGCAAGCACCAAGTTGAGGGACAGAGTCAGGAGCTAGGAGACTATCCCTGAAACCACATACATGTGTAAGTGAGAATACCAAGAATACCTTTTATAAGAAGTTACTAAAATTTGTGATCTATATTTGGCAATTCTTGAAATACAAGCTTACCCTTGGCTGTAGCAGTGGCACGAGACTGGGTTGGTGGCTGATTCTTATCGTAGTTAGGATCCTCAACTTCTTGACATCGGTAAGAGAGGTTACGTAAAATACACACACAATTCTCAACACTCTTATTATCATGGGAAGACCCCTGAATTGCAGATTTAATCACTGTGAGAAGAGAGTCTACAAGCCCGAGGCACTGACGTAGTTTTGTTCGTGCATATTCACCAGCCGAACTTACGTTTCTGTAAGAAGAAATTTTATCTTTGGAATACTGACAAAGCAAAAACTTTAGATTGAATTTAATGTGATAAATCAAATTTAATATTAAGTGAATACATATACACTTACCTTAAAACTCCTGAGGCATTTTTAAATACAGTAGACCACCAGACATCTACATTAGGGTCCCGTTCAACTTCTCCCCCATCCCAGCCTGAACATGGAATGACGACGTGGGTAACAATAACTGTTAATGCATCATCAATGATGCTGTGCTTCAAGTCCTGCAAATTTAGAAGATGTGCTTCTAATCCAACTTATTTATAAAGTCTACTATTACATGTAACAATCATATTAGTCTACATATTTGTTTCTTAACTGTTATCCTTTCTTAGATTCTTTGATGCAGTACAGTGGTACCCCGAGTTTCGAACTTTCTTCATTCCAGAAGGCTGTTCAAGTGCCAACATTGGACAAATTTGTTCCCATAAGAAATAATGGGAATTAGATTAGTCCATTTCAGACCCCCAAAAATACACATATAAAAGCACTAATATTATTCAAAAACATTCCCAATTAATGAAGTATGCATTTAAGAACCCAATAAATTACACTACAGTTAAATGCTGCAAGTAGTAATTTAAAAACTATTAAACAATATAGAAACACTGAGGCATGAGTAACTTTCTTTATATCTTCTCTGCAGATTAGAGGTGGGATTAAATTATGGGGAATCAAATACAAAATGGGAATTGACACAGTTACTTTTTGCTGATGATACTGTGCTTATGGGAGATTCTAAAGAAAAATTGCAAAGGTTAGTGGATGAGTCTGGGAGTGTGTGAAAAGGTAGAAAGTTGAAAGTGAACATAGAAAAGAGTAAGGTGCTGAGGGTATCAAATGATTTAAATAAAGAAAAATTGGATATCAAATTGGGGAGGAGGAGTATGGAAGAAGTGAATGTTTTCAGATACTTGGGAGTTGACGTGTCGGCGGATGGATTTATGAAGGATGAGGTTAATCATCTCACATGGGGAAGTGGAACAGAATTCTTCCTCCGTAAGCCATGCGTGTTGTAAGAGGCGACTAAAAATGCCGGGAGCAAGGGGCAGTAACCCCTTCTGCTGTTATATTACTAAAGTAAAATGGAGAACTATTTGTTTTCCTTTAGTGGCCACCCACCTCGGTGGGTACGGCCGGTCTTTGAAAAGGAAAGAAAGAGGTTATCATAGAAATGATGAGGGAAAAAAGGGAGTGGGTCATTGAGGTAAATGTGGAGTCAAAAAACATTATCTATGGAGGCAAAGAAGAGAATGTATGAAAGTATAGTAGTACCAACACTCTATATGGTGTGGAAACTTGTGTTGTGAATGCAGCAGCGAGGAGGCGGTTGGAGGCAGTGGAGATGTCCTGTCTAAGGGCAATGTGCGGTGTAAATATTATGCAGAAAATTTGGAGTGTGGAAATTAGGAGGTGTGGAGTTAATAAAAGTATTAGTCAGAGGGCTGAACAGGGGTTGTTGAGGTGGTTTGGTCATTTAGAGAGAATGGATCAAAGTAGAATGACATAGAGAGCATTTAAATCTGTAGGGGAAGGAAGGCGGGGTAGGGGTCATCCTCAAAAAGGTTGGAAGGAAGGGGTAAGGGAGGTTTTGTGGGCGAGGGGCTTGGACTTCCAGCAGGCGTGCATGAGCGTGTTCAATAGGAGTGAATGGAGACGAATGGTACAGTAGGGCCCTGCTTTACAGGGTTTCGCTTAACGGCGTTCCGCTAATACGGTCATTTCAAATTATAGCCAAAACTCGGTATACGGCTCCCCCCACCTGACTTTCTAATACGGTCACCGCGCCCCACCCGGTTTGTTTACATTCTCTGTGAGATCCCTAAGCACTAAGTCTCTCCATTATGTCTGGAAACTCCAAAATTTCAAGTGTTTTTGAAAGTTATTTCATATTTTATATATACTCTGATAATTATACTTATGTATACCTTTTATGTTTAACTTTTAAATGTTGAGGAAGAAAGGGAGGCGGTAATTTCATGCACTGGTCAGGGAGGTATACCATCCTTTAGGAGTGAAGAAGAGCAGAATGTAAGTGTGGAGGAGGTACGCGAGGCATTACGTAGAATGAAAGGGGGTAAAGCAGCTGGAACTGATGGGATCATGACAGAAATGTTAAAAGCAGGGGGGGATATAGTGTTGGAGTGGTTGGTACTTTTGTTTAATAAATGTATGAAAGAGGGGAAGGTACCTAGGGATTGGCGGAGAGCATGTATAGTCCCTTTATATAAAGGGAAAGGGGACAAAAGAGATTGTAAAAATTATAGAGGAATAAGTTTATTGAGTATACCAGGAAAAGTGTACGGTAGGGTTATAATTGAAAGAATTAGAGGTAAGACAGAATGTAGGATTGCGGATGAGCAAGGAGGTTTCAGAGTGGGTAGGGGATGTGTAGATCAAGAGTTTACATTGAAGCATATATGTGAACAGTATTTAGATAAAGGTAGGGAAGTTTATATTGCATTTATGGATTTAGAAAAGGCATATGATAGAGTGGATAGGGGAGCAATGTGGCAGATGTTGCAAGTATATGGAATATGTGGTAAGTTACTAAATGCTGTAAAGAGTTTTTATGAGGATAGTGAGGCTCAGGTTAGGGTGTGTAGAAGAGAGGGAGACTACTTCCCGGTAAAAGTAGGTCTTAGACAGGGATGTGTAATGTCACCATGGTTGTTTAATATATTTATAGATGGGGTTGTAAAAGAAGTAAATGCTAGGGAGTTCGGAGATGGGGTGGGATGTTAATTAGGGGAATCAAATTCAAAATGGGAATTACACAGTTACATTTTGCTGATGATTGTGCTTATGGGGATTCTAAAGAAAAATGCAAAGGTTAGTGGTGAGTTTGAGGAATGGTGAGAATCGGTAAAAGTGAAAGTGAACATAGAAAAGATAAGGTGAATGAGGGTATAAATGATTTAGATAAAAAAAATTGGTATCAAATTGGGGAGATGAGTATAGAAAACAGGTAATGCTTGCTACTTCTACTTACACTTAGGTCACACTAAACATACATGTCAAAGCATGATATATACACACCCCTCCGGTTTTTCTTCTATTTCTTTCTAATTCTAGTTCTAAGTTTATTTGCATATCTAGTGGGATTTTGGAGAATTTCCTGTGTAAAGGTCGAAAGGTGAATGAAAATAGGACAAGGGTAGTAACCTTTTGAAAATCTAAATTTTAAAAAGAAATTATTGGATCCTCAAATACGGCGGTAGTGAGGAAAAAAGAGTATGGAAGAAGTAAATGTTTTCAGATACTTGGGAGTTGACGTGTCGGCGGATGGATTTATGAAGGATGAGGTTAATCATAGAACTGATGAGGGAAAAAAGGTGAGTGGTGCATTGAGGTATATGTGGAGTCAAAAAACGTTATCTATGGAGGCAAAGAAGGGAATGTATGAAAGTATAGTAGTACCAACACTCTTATATGGGTGTGAAACTTGGGTTGTGAATGCAGCAGCGAGGAGGCGGTTGGAGGCAGTGGAGATGTCCTGTCTAAGGGCAATGTGCAGTGTAAATATTATGCAGAAAATTCGGAGTGTGGAAATTAGGAGGTGTGGAGTTAATAAAAGTATTAGTCAGAGGGCTGAACAGGGGTTGTTGAGGTGGTTTGGTCATTTAGAGAGAATGGATCAAAGTAGAATGACATGGAAAGCATATAAATCTATAGGGGAAGGAAGGCGAGGTAGGGGTCGTCCTCGAAAGGGTTGGAGAGAGGGGGTAAAGGAGGTTTTGTGGGCAAGGGGCTTGGACATCCAGCAAGCGTGTGTGAGCGTGTTAGATAGGAGTGAATGGAGATGAATGGTACTTGGGACCTGACGATCTGTTGGAGTGTGAGCAGGGTAATATTTAGTGAAGGGATTCAGGGAAACCGGTTATTTTCATATAGTCGGACTTGAGTCCTGGAAATGGGAAGTACAATGCCTGCACTTTAAAGGAGGGGTTTGGGATATTGGCAGTTTGGAGGGATATGTTGTGTATCTTTATATTTATATACTTCTAAACTGTTGTATTCTGAGCACCTCTGCAAAAACAGTGATTATGTGTGAGTGTGGTGAAAGAGTTGAATGATGATGAAAGCATTTTCTTTTTGGGGATTTTCTTTCTTTTTTGGGTCACCCTGCCTCGGTGGGAGACGGCCGACTTGTTGAAAAAAAAAAAAAAAGTATACCTGTACCTAAAAAAAACTTACACACTGTGCTGGCATGCAGGTACACAGTAAAATCAGTAAGAGTGTCTTATGTCTCCAGACGTCATATTAATAATGATGATAATAATCACAGAGTCTCATTTCAATGTCCTATATTACATTAATATACACATTTTCATTAATCCACCTATGATATTTTTTCAAAATTATATAATAAACACGATGCATGACATATAAATATGATAAATACACCCCACAGTATAATAAATAAACAAATATGAGATGTGGTAGCAGACAACTTGCACAAGTGACGCTATATTAGAAATGATAATAATAATCATCACCGAGTCTCATTAAATGTCGTATATTACGTTAATATCCACATTTTCATTAACCCATCTATGATATTTTTTCCAAAATTATATAATAAACATGATACATAACATATAAAGATGATAAATACACCCCACAATAGAATAAATAAACATAAATATGAGATGTGGTAGCTAGATAACTTGTACAAGTGACGGCAAGAATAACATTTTCTCTAATCCAACATAAGAGAAAATGTGTTCCTGGGGGTAACTGTAGAAAATTATTCCTTTTGTATGTATGTATGTAAGTTTATTCAGGTATACACAAATACAGTTACATAGATTATCATACATAACTGTATATGTGTAGAGAACCTAGGATAACCCAAAAAAGTCAGTGTGACTAATTTCCATTGCCTTCACTCAGAGCGTCATTTCTTCTCAAAATGATGTTACATGAGAATGGGAGTGTTCTTCTTTATTTATTCTACCGTATCAGTGTAGAGACAACCTGTACACAATGTAACTTGTACACAAACCAGACGTGTACACTTTGTTATTTTACAAAACTTACCTTCGCCTGGTTTGTTTACATAACTCGGCGCCTGTCCTCTCTCATGTACTCATTCTTTCTCTCTCTCTCATTTTTTTTTGTTTTATCTCATTTACTTACTCCTGACCCTACATTAAAACTACAAATATTTTAAGGTAAGTAATGAGTGAACTGTATATACATTTTATCGCTCTGGGATGCTTAAATATCATAGAATGGTATGTGTGGGAGGGGTGGCCTGGTATGGTAGCCTGGCTGACTACCATACATACCACACTTGATTTTTTACAATAAATACTACTCATCTCACCCTAGATTAAGACTACAAATATTTTAAGGTAAGTAATGAGTAAACTGTATATGTATTTTATCACTCTGGGATGCTTAAATGTAATATAATATTATGTGGCCTGGTATGGTAGCCCGGCTGACTACCATACATACAACACTTGATTTCTTACAATAAATACTACTTGTCTCACTCTAGATTAAGACTATAACTATTTTAAGGTAAATAATGAGTGCACTATGTGAGTATTGTACTTTTTTTTGTTTTTTTATGCCTAGTGCTATTGCTAACGTAATATATGTTAGTGTAAACTTGTTATCTAGTATTTGTATGCATTTATAAGTGGAAAAAAAGGGTGTTCCAATTTACGGCAATTTCCACTTTACAGCGGTAGCCTGGAACCTAACCAGCCGTATAAGTGGGGCCCTATTGTATTTGGGACCTGACGATCTGTTGGAGTGTGAGCAGGGTAATATTTAGTGAAGGGATTCAGGGAAACCGGTTATTTTTATATAGCCGGACTTGAGTCCTGGAAACGGGAAGTACAATGCCTGCACTCTAAAGGAGGGGTTTGGGATATTAGCAGTTTGGAGGGATATGTTGTGTATCTTTATACGTATATGCTTCTAAACTGTTGTGTTCTGAGCACCTCTGCAAAAACAGTGATTGTGTGTGAGTGAGGTGAAAGTGTTGAATGATGATGAAAGTATTTTCTTTTCGGGGATTTTCTTTCTTTTTATGGGTCACCCTGCCTCGGTGAGAGACGGCCGCCTTGTTGAAAAAAAAGAAATCTAACAATTATGAGACTCAGGCATACAATACTGCAAAATATGACCAGGAAATAGTAGATCTGTAACAATTTTATCCCAAATTCATATATTTTAAAAGCAAATTAGATTGTAAGTTTACAGCATCAGACACTGCCTTACAAATAGATGGGATATGGATGAACTTTATACCTCACAAGATGATAAATTCCACAGAATGCCAGTGACCAACTCTTTTATTTCGTTGTCAGGTGTTTTGCGTAACAGTCTCACCAAAGCTTGTATACCTTGTGCATCTTTTATAGCTCGTTTGTTTTCATCGTTTTGGCGTCCATATGACAAGTTTCTGAAGATAAACAAAAACAAATATATCAATACCATCATGCTATATATTACTATTCACTGGTCACAGAAAATGTAGTAAATCAACAATTACTATAATGATACTTATCTACTAACCAATTAACATATCCCACACATGTAACTTAGTTTTCACACTTGTTGTAGGTTTATCAAAATGTTTTTAATCAAAATTAGAACTAAACTATGCACATTGCTTTAGGTTTATCACAATATTTTTAATTAATCAAAATTAGAACTAAACCATGCATAATGAAGCACTGTTAAGTTGACAGCAAATGCTATAATGTACTGAAAGAACAAAAAGGTACAATACCATGACTGGAACAATACAAAAATAATCCTTACATATGGTCCAAGTTGGACCAAAATATTGCTGTAAGCTTTTTTCTCTCCTATACTGTACAGTCCATCCTTGTAGTACCAAGAGCTTGGTTTTTTAAAGTGAGACAACATATATTTGTAACATTAAATACTTATGAGTGATATTTGAAGTTTGCTGTAATTTAAATAGTAATTAAGGAAAGGTAGTGTGTGATTTGAACCCAAAACACAACCACAAGATATTGTGAAACCACAAGTGTGTGATTTCATGCAAGCCTGAAATAAAAACATTGGTAATTCCATCTTTACCTGATAAAATGAAAAGACACATGACAGCCACATTCAAGATTATAAGAGGATAAAAACAAAATTGACATGGTAGATTTCCCAACCCCATCAACTAGAGAAAAGTTAAATAGATTTTTTTTTTTTTTTTTTTTTTTAAATAGAGCAGTAGACAATGAAACTGTTTACCTAAGATGACAGGAAGTGCTAAAACCACTCAAAACTTTTAAAAACTTTACGATAGGCTAAACACTGAGGACAGACTCCTGGCTTAGCTCTGCTTCAGTATCTACCAATAGCTGATCACAATTAACCTACTACCCTACACCAAAATACCACGAATAACTGTTCTAAGCCTCAATTCAGAAGCTCCCATCATGACCCATTAATCTCCTACTTATACCACCCATAGAACCTCAACTGAAAACCTCAATTTCTCACTTATCTACCATTACAGTTCCCACATTTTTCCTGCTTACACAACGTATATTCACTTAACAATAAGCCTTCAACTCAATCCACTATACGGGATATTTTCCTGCATAGTGGACTGATAATTGCATCTAATACAACTCTCACATTTCTCACCCAATTACCCCATTAGAGAACATACTAAATTCCAAAACATACTCAACTCTTCCCTCAACCTCTCAAACTATTCTCCATCATCACTCAACAGTGACTCAAAGCACTCTATATTTTTTTTTTTTTTCCAACATGTCAGCCATCTCCCACTGAGGCAGGGTAACCCAAAAAAGAAAGAAACACTTTCACCATCATTCACACAATCTTTTTCTTGGCAGAGGTGCCCAGATACGACAGCCAATATCCCAAACCCCTCCTTTAACCTCTTAACTATCCAAATGTAGATCAACGCTTTATTTTTCCTGGCTCCAAATTTGTCATGATTGACCTGAGATGCCTGGTCAGTATAGAATGGGTCTTAACCCTTGGTGTGTGCAGTATTAAAAAATCTGGGACCACATAGTACCATGTGGGAGCACCAGTTCAATTAAGTGCCAGCTAGAGCAAACAGAATGGCAAACACCAGGGATTCACCAATGTCATGTCATATTAACAAACCCCTTTTAAGAGGAAAGTGATGCTGACCCTGAGTTTAGTGGCTCTGAGATGGATATGGCCACAAGTGGTCAAGGAATTATCAAAAACCTCAATAATAACCCATGTGCAACATTTGTGCAACATCCTTTCAATTTTGATACCACTGGTAGTGTCATCCTGCTAGAATGTCCTACAACCTATGCCCTAAGTAAAGAGAAACAATTCTGGAATGTGTAATATGTGTTCGGCAGGCTCTGGCTGATTGGCTGTCTGTATCTCTATCTCACAAGTATACATAAATACAATTACACATAATATAAATTACCTATGATAACTCAAAAAAAAAAAAACAAAGTGCTAGACTGTGCCTGTAGATATAAGGCATAATAACCATGACTGGCAAGTAATACAGGAGGCCCTATATATTCGCAAGGGTCAGGGGATCAAGAACCTCATGAATCTTGAAAATTTGCCAATGTTTGTTATATTATGTATTAGTGGATAAAAGGTTGATGGGTAGGCTCCAGGATGTACACGTTTATAGAGGGGCAACTGATATATCGGATCATTATTTAGTTGTAGCTACAGTTAGGGTAAAAGGTAGCTGGGACAAGAGGAAAATGGCAACAAGTAAGAGAGAGGTGAAAGTGTATATGGAGAGTAAAAGAAAGGTGAAGAGAGTGGTGAGAGAGTGCAAAAGGAAAGCAGATGATATAGTGGGAGAGGCACTGTCAAGAAATTTTAATGAAAATAAGAAAAAATTTTGGAGTGAGTTAAACAATTTAAGAAAGCCTAGGGAACAAATGGATTTGTCAGTTAAAAACAGAGTAGGGTAGTTAGTAGATGGGGAGATGGAGGTACTGGGTAGATGGCGGGAATATCTTGAGGAACTTTTAAATGTCGATGAAGAAAGGGAGGCGATAATTTCATGCAATGGCCAGGGAGGTATACCATTTTTTAGGATGGCGAGGCATTACGTAGAATGAAAGGGGGTAAAGCAGCTGGAACTGACTGGATCATGACAAATGTTAAAATAGGGGAACATACATAGGGATTGGCAGAGAGCATGTATAGTTCCTTTATATAAAGGGAAGGGGGACAAAAGAGATTATAAAAATTATAGAGGAATTAGTTTACTTAGTATACCAGGAAAAGTGTACGGTAGGGTTATTATTGAAAGAAATCCTCTGACTACTTATAAATTTAGGACTTTGATAAAAAATCATCTTATCTCTCAATACTGACCAATTCAACCAAAACAAATGCTAATTTAGTTGTATTATGTGCCTTCTAGATTTTTAAACTTTGCCAGTCCATGAAATATTACTACCTGAACCATTATTTGTAATACTGTTTTTATATGCAACTTCAGGATTATTATTCTTAAAAACCTCCACCTTGACTACCTTACATTAGTATTAAGATTAAATAAAACTGTAATATGGTTAACCACAACTATCTTGTCTAGTTTTAAGTAGAGGTAAGACAGAATATAGGATTGCGGATGAGCAAGGAGGTTTCAGAGTGGGTAGGGGATGTGTAGATCAAGTATACATTGAAGCATATATGTGAACAGTATTTAGATAAAGGTAGGGAAGTTTTTATTGCATTTATGGATTTAGAAAAGGCATATGATAGAGTGAATAAGGGAGCAATGTGGCAGATGTTGCAAGTATATGGAATATGTGGTAAGTTACTAAATGCTGTAAAGAGTTTTTATGAGGATAGTGAGGCTCAGGTTAGGGTGTGTAGAAGAGAGGGAGACTACTTCCCGGTAAAAGTAGGTCTTAGACAGGGATGTGTAATGTCACCATGGTTGTTTAATATATTTATAGATGGGGTTGTAAAAGAAGTAAATGCTAGGGAGTTCGGGAGAGGGGTGGGATTAAATTATTGGGAATCAAATTCAAAATGGGAATTAACAGTTACTTTTTGCTGATGATACTGTGCTTATGGAGATTCTAAAGAAAAATTGCAAAGGTTAGTGGATGAGTTTGGGAATGTGTGTAAAGGTAGAAAGTTGAAAGTGAACATAGAAAAGAGTAAGGTGATGAGGGTATCAAATGATTTAGATAAAGAAAAATTGGATATCAAATTGGGGAGGAGAGTATGGAAGAAGTAAATGTTTTCAGATACTTGGGAGTTGACGTGTCAGCGGATGGATTTTATGAAGGATGAGGTTAATCATAGAATCGATGAGGGAAAAAAGGTGAGTGGTGCATTGAGGTATATGTGGAGTCAAAAAATGTTATCTATGGAGGCAAAGAAGGGAATGTATGAAAGTATAGTAGTACCAACACTCTTATATGGGTGTGAAGCTTGGGTGGTAAATGCAGCAGCGAGGAGACGGTTGGAGGCAGTGGAGATGTCCTGTTTAAGGGCAATGTGTGGTGTAAATATTATGCAGAAAATTCGGAGTGTGGAAATTAGGAAAAGGTGTGGAGTTAATAAAAGTATTAGTCAGAGGGCAGAAGAGGGGTTGTTGAGGTGGTTTGGTCATTTAGAGAGAATGGATCAAAGTAGAATGACATGGAAAGCATACAAATCTATAGGGGAAGGAAGGCGAGGTAGGGGTCATCCTCGAAAGGGTTGGAGAGAGGGGGTAAGATAAGATAAGATAAGATTTCGTTTGGATTTTTAACCCCGGAGGGTTAGCCACCCAGGATAACCCAAGTCAGTGCCTCTTAATCTTGTCCCCCAGGATGCGACCCACACCAGTCGACTAACACCCAGGTACCTATTTGCTGCTAGGTGAACAGGACAACAGGTGTAAGGAAATGTGTCGAAATGTTTCCACCCGCCGGGAATCGAACCCGGGCCCTCCGTGTGTGAAGCGGGAGCTTTAGCCACCAGGCCACCGGTTTTGTGGGGAAGGGGCTTGGACTTCCAGCAAGCGTGCGTGAGCGTGTTAGATAGGAGTGAATGGAGATGAATGGTACTTGGGCCTGACGATCTGTTGGAGTGTGAGCAGGGTAATATTTAGTGAAAGGATTCAGGGAAACCGGTTATTTTCATATAGTCGGACTTGAGTCCTGGAAATGGGAAGTACAATGCCTGCACTTTAAAGGAGGGGTTTGGGATATTGGCAGTCTGGAGGGATATGTTGTGTATCTTTATACGTATATGCTTCTAAACTGTTGTATTCTGAGCACCTCTGCAAAAACAGTGATTATGTGTGAGTGTGGTGAAAGTGTTGAATGATGATGAAAGCATTTTCTTTTTGGGGATTTTCTTTCTTTTTTGGGTCACCCTACCTCAGTGGGAGATGGCCAACTTGTTGAAAAAAAAAAAAACTACACATTAGGATTAGTCTGTCCGAAATGCCCTGGTATGATAGTGGCTTTCTCTGTACTTAGCAAACCAAAACTGTAATTACACATTTTAACCTTTATAAAGAAATAAACCTTTATCTTTACCTAAATATACTTAAGTGTACATTGTGGTTGAATTCCACTGTTAGTATCATGAAATTTAAATAAATTTGGAATGAGTAACTCATCTTTGTGCCACTTCCACACACTGTTGCTGGTAAGGAAGCTAGAGGAGGAACATTCCTAATTACACCAATTACTTTTGCTAGTTAGGCGTATTAGTACATTAGACACGTAGTCATCACTTGTGTAGTTAACCATGATACACTGTGTGGACCCTCCTGGGCTTAGATTTTTTCAAATGTATGAATAGATTGAAGATGACCCAAAGAGTTGTGCTGAAGTCAAAAATACTGGCAGGTAATAGATTCGTGCATAGTAATACGTACAGCAGAGACAACATTTGCATACTAGCACGTCGGATATAGTTTAAGGGTTAATAACTACGATCTGTTGGAGTGTGAGCAGGGTAATATTTAGTGAAGGGATTCAGGGAAACCGGTTATTTTTATATAGCCGGACTTGAGTCCTGGAAATGGGAAGTGCAATGCCTGCACTCTAAAGGAGGGGTTCGGGATATTGGCAGTTTGGAAAGATATATTGTGTATCTTTATAGGTACAGTATATGCTTCCAAGCTGTTGTGTTCTGAGCACCTCTGCAAAAACACTGATTATGTGTGAGTGAGGTGAAAGTGTTGAATGATGATGAAAGTATTTTCTTTTTGGGGATTTTCTTTCTTTTTTGGGTCACCCTGCCTCGGTGGGAGATGGCTGACTTGTTTAAAAAAAAAAAAAAAAATTACATCTGCATTATAATTACATCATCTTTTGCATTACCAAGTCATCTTGGCCCTTGAAGTGCACAGGCTATTTTTGTGAAGATCAAGCAAGAAATTAGTGCACTGGTGTGTGAGTATGGCTTTCCACAATTTACCACCACTGCCATTATCAAGCCAATAGAAATAATAAAGAATATTAAGGTGGACGACAAATCAAAGCTTGAGAAAAAAAGCAGAGAAATTATCATAGAAATGAAAAGGCTGTTGTTACTGTGAATAAGAGAAGCAGATGAAGGAAGGAATAGTGCCTGCAAGTTATATCTGAATGCATGCTAGTCCAAGGTACAGTAAAAGTTACACTTTTGGGGTCTTGGAATGAAATTACTATGAAACCATGTATTTTGGTTTTTTTGCCATGATAGTTTTAATGTACAGTAAGTCTCCTGGAACTGATTAATAATGTAATTCAAAGTACCACTGTATTCTGAAAACTTCACTGATCTGTATATGAAGAAATAAACTTTAAGAAGAGACAAAGCTTAGCATTTCTGCTGCTAAAGAATGAAAAAAATAAGTTGGAATAGAAATTAGAGAAGCAGGACAATTACCTAAGTGCCCCACATGCATTCCGGTGAAGCTCTGGCAAGTCATGTGTGAGGAGAGCTACAAGAGGAGGAATGCCACCTAAAATTCGTGTCTTTTGCTTAGTTGTGTCATCCATATAGCATAGATGCTGAAGATATGCCGCAGCATTTGCCTTCACAACATTGTTGGGGTTGCTTAAGAAGTCGATAACCTCGTGTAGGTCTGGATCTCTCCACCGAACTGTAAGAAGAAAGTTAAAGATAAATACGACAGCTTTTAAAACTGAAGCTAATGAGTAAATACTGCATATAATACTACCCCTTAATAACATTTACTTTTAGAGTTAATTCTGCCCCACATCATCTGGTTATGATCAGGGAAGGGTGTGTTGGATTTTCTAAAATGCCAGCCAGTAAATGGATGAATTATTTTTTTTGCACAATCCATTGTAGCATTACCTATTCAGTGTTCTGTAAGGGGGGAGAGATTTTAAGGAAGGAAAGGGGTGTTGTTGGTGGGTGGATGGGGATGAGGAAGGGGGTCAGTTAGGAACAGATTGTACACTCTTCATTTCTAGCAACTGCTGTTTGTAGCAAATCTCTGTAAACATTACTCTAAATTGGAGTTAGAAGTATTGGGAAGATGGCATGGATATTTTGAGGAACTGTTAAATGTTAATGAAGAAAGGGAGGCTGTGATTACATGCATTGGCCAGGGAGGTACAACATTCTTTAGGAGTGAGGAAGAGTCAGATGTGAGAGTGGTTGGTGGTGTGTGAGGCTGTGGGCAAAATGAAAGAGGGTAAAGCAGCTGGGATTGATGGGATCAAAAGAGAAATGTTAAAAGCAGGTGGGGATATAGTTTTGGAATGGTAGTTACTTTTGCTCAATAAGTGTATGAAAGATGGGAAGGTATCTATGGGTTAGTAGAGAGTATGCATAGTTCCTGTGTAAAAAGGAAACGGGAACAAAAGAGTAAAAATTATAGAAGGAATAAGCCTGGTGAGTATACCAGGTAAAGTGTATGGTAGGGTTATTATTGAAAGAATTAAAGATAAGAACATAAGAAAGGAGGAATACTGCAACAGGCCTATTGGTCCATACTGGGCAGGTCCTTGTCAAACCCAATATAGTCTGAGCTTGCTACCATCTGCAGCTCATAAGACTGCCATCCCCACGAGCCCATTTGAGGCGGGGTAGATGGCAGACCAGAGGCCTAGCTTCTCCCTACGAGCCCCGTGAAAGCGGGGAATGTGGCTAGGCCTGGGGACACTTGGTCCCAAAGATGAGGAGGCACTGTACCTCCTCCCATGGGAGACTTAAGTCTCGAGACACTCCCCAGATAAGGAGCCAAGGCCAGGTCACCACTACTTGGAAAAGACCCGGGCCGGGAGAATACCGGTGAATAAAAAAAAAAAAAAAAAAACCCAACCCATAAACAAAAATATATGCCCAACTCATTTTCAGTGCTACCCAAGCAACAAGCTTTGACAACCCTTTTAACTCATGAGTAAGTCCCACTTAAATCCAATCCCTCTCACCCATGTATTTTTTTTTTTTTAACATGTCAGCCATCTTCCACGAAGGCAGGGTTACCCAAGAAACACTTTCACCACCATTCACACATAATTGCTGTCTTTGCAGAGGCACTCAGATAAGACAATTTAGATGTCAGTGCAAACAACCAATATCCCAAACCCAAACCTACCTCCAGGACTCGAGTCCGGCTATATAAAAATAACCGGTTTCCCTGAATCCCTTCACTAAATATTACCCTGCTCACACTCGAACAGCTCATCAGGTCCCAAATACCATTGGTCTCCATTCACTCCTATCTAACATGCTCACGCACGCTTGCTGGAAGTCCAAGCCCCTCACCCACAAAACCTCCTTTACCCCCTCCCTCCAACCTTTTCGAGGACCCTACCCCGCCTTCCTTCTCCTACAGTTTTATATACTCTCCATGTCGTTCTACTTTGATCCATTCTCTCTAAATGACCAAACCACCTCAACAACCCCTCTTCAGCCCTCTGACTAATACTTTTATTAACGCCACACCTTCTCCTAATTTCCACATTCCGAATTTTCTGCATAATATTTACACCACACACTGCCCTTAAACAGGACATCTCCACTGCCTCCAACCATCTTCTTGCTGCAGCATTTACAACCCAAGCTTCACACCCATATAAGTGTGTTGGTACCACTATACTTTCATACATTCCCTTCTTTGCCTCCATAGATAACGTTTTTTGTAATAAAGTTGGTAGAAATACCGACAATATGTAAAGTAAAAGGACACAAGTGTAACTAATGTGGCAACATTTCGCTCTCCAGAAGCTTGACAAAGCTCTTGGAGAGTGAAACGTTGCCACAATAAAATGCCACATTAGTTGCACTTGTGTCCTTTTACTTTACATAACGTTTTTGTCTCCACATATACCTCAACGCACCACTCACCTTTTTTCCTTCAATTCTATGATTAACCTCATCCTTCATAAATCCATCCGCCGACACGTCAACTCCCAAGTATCTGAAAACATTCACTTCTTCCATACTCCTCCTCCCCAATTTGATATCCAATTTTTCTTTATCTAAATCATTTGATACCTTCATCACCTTACTCTTTTCTATGTTCACTTTCATCTTTTTACCTTTACACACACTCCCAAACTCGTCCACTAACCTTTGCAATTTTTCTTCAGAATCTCCCATAAGCACAGTATCATCAGCAAAAAGTAACTGTGACAAATACTGTATATTGATAAAATGACAAAAACATGACTGTTTTTAAACTGCTGACTTCAGTGTCAATTTGTTTGATTCCACAGCATTCAGTGGATGGGGCAGAAGATAACTTTACAAGGAGCATCACTGGGTGGTGTTAAAGCAACAATGTTTGCATGCAGTACTTATGCATTATCAGACTGACCTTTTCATTTACCACTGAAAATTTACATAAAAATGAATGGGAATGGGCCTTTAAGTGTCCTGTCAAGAATATTTTTAAAATATATGGAATAGTATGATAAGTACACTACAGTAATACAGTACACTGTTATATGGGATTCATCAATGTCAGAACTATTGCTTTTAAAGAAATTTAAGAACCTTTCACTTGTAAAGTTGCCAAATTAACGTCCACACTGGGGACTTCAGCAATACCTGTAAAGATCAAAATTACTGGTGTGTATCAGATGCTCTGTAATACAGATATGTAATAATTTACATAAAGTAGCAGCTGGGAGTACAGCTGCACAATGAGTATTCCTTACCTTCATTCTGTTTACAAAATATTACTGATGTATAAATAATCCATTATTTCAAAAGCATGCTGGTATGTTTATTATAATAGGTAAAAACTAACCCAATCATTTAACTTCCTAAATCTCTCTATCTATAATTTCCTACACCTGAAGCACCATCAAATAACTTGTAAAATATCAACTTATGATAATTACAACCTAAAATTTTTTAATTTATTTATTTCATACTTGTTTAGTCAAACTTTAAGCACCAGACTTATTTTATAGTCAAAGATATTTTTGATTTTCACAATGCATATTTCAGCAAAATTTCTATAAGTCTGAGTAATGAAATTAAGACAAAAATAATCAGTTTTATAGAAATTAAATAATACAACGATGATACTACATGAAAATAAATCCTTTGTCAGACATAAGCAAACAAGTGCAATACGTACATATGAATTGAAAACCAACATAAATAGTAATAGAATTACAAACCTGAGCTAAGATAAAGAACAAATTTTCAATTATTAGTCCAAACTGTTCCACTATTTCACCCATTTTACACTTAAAAAGAGCTGTCAATGAGCATAACTTTTCATTCAATTGATAATTACAAGTATCCTGCTGTTTTGCCGAGATGAAATGAAATTATTAGTAGTGTAAAATCAATAGTTTTATAAAACATATACTGTATATATAATAACAATTTTAATACACATTTTCAAGACATTTTACAAAAGCCAGACAGTGTGTCACACCTCTAGGAGCACTGCTGTCTGCAGAAGGAGAGCGTAGCAGGTTGGGATGTGCATAGTTGTCGTGATTTTGGATTGGTGGAGGTGGCAAAGAGGGAGTTGATGGTGGGATGTGTGGGGGAGGTGCAGGGTGCTGTGCATGAGGGGGTTCTTCATCATACATAGCAGGGGATGGTAAAAGAGGCTCAGCACTTGCCCTCACCCCTCCATTTATAGTATAGGGTGAGCGGGGAGCACCCAGCAGCCGCCCATACACAACCCCATCAGGGGATACCCCATGCCACTCTCAGCTCCGGGATACCTGCTATCTTCAGGGTAATCCCCAACACGGACATCACCTTCAAGGCCATCATCTACAGTGCAAACAAACACATCATGCTACGACATAAAAGCAAAAACTTTATATTCAAGCATATTTACAAAAAAAAAAAAAAAAGTGCTGAAAATTACATGTACTTTAATAGTAGCTAAAGGCAGTGCAATTCTACAAAATCATGTAAAGATCTTAAAATCAAAGAAAAAACATGTAATATAGCAAATACAAACAAAATATCAAACACATACTCTGATCAAAGTCCAAAATAGCAAAAAACTACACAGTAATACCATCATTAATTAAACTACATGAAATCATATAAGTTTTATATTGAAGGCATAATATGAAGCCCTTCACTATTATTCTACAATTAGTACGAATGTCTCCCTTTCATGAACACATTACTTCCTGATATCAACAAAGCATAATTATGAAATGGAGGGCAGAGATACTGGACAGAAAAGAATATGTATTAGATGAAATGGAATCAGAAATTTCAGGATTGGGGCAAGGTGCAAGGAGATTTATTAGAATATGTTAAGTCCCAGAAACTAGTATAGTGAGATGCATTAAGCTGGACAAAAGCAGAAAAACAATAGGAATGGATGGGATAAAGATTAAAATACAGCCTCTTCTCACATAATGATAGGGTTCCAATCCTAAGACCGCGTTGGTAAACGAATTTGGCACTAAGTGAGAAGCATAATATAATGGTAGTAGGTTTGTGTCAACCATCTTTGATATTGTTTAAGTGTCACCTCTGCACCATTTATAACTTTTTTAGTATATTTTAAAATGTTTATACAGTAGTGTACTGTACACTGTAATAAACAGAACAGAAGAAATCAGCTCTAATATACATGTACATTATTTGGGTATGCATACTGGTCAAAGACCCCGTCGAAAGTCCAAGTTGTCGGTAAATGAGTACGCTGCTAAGGGAGGAGAGGCTGTGCTAAAAGCAGGTTGGTATGTTTATTGAAAGTGTACATGAAAGAATGTAAGCTATCCAAGGAAAGCCAGAGACAAAGAAAATTAAGAAATACAGAGAATGAGTCTGCTGACTATGAGCAAAATGCATAGCAAAACTGTTGTTGAAAGTATGAGAAACAAATAGCATGATTACAAAAGATTCAGAAGGGAAAGGGGATGTGGATCAAGTACTGCCATTGAAACACACAGTACAGGAGGGCCCCACTTATATGGCAGGTTAGGTTCCAGGCTGTCGTAAAGCGAATCACACTTTTTTTCACTATTAAATGCTGAGTGTCTGATAACATATATTAACCCTTTGAGGGTCCAGACCCCCCCAATCCGAAAATATCCCACAGGGTTCAGGAATTTAAAAAAAAAAGTTTATTATTATTTCTTATGAAATGGTAGAGAATCTTTTTTCTGAATGTAATAAAATAAAATGTATGAAATTTTATCAAAAATTTATGAAATTAAGCTCTCGCGAATTTTGCTGTGTCAGCGTTATTTACACATTGGGGATTTTGCCAATTTTTGGCTAATTACAATGTTCCATTAGCCCAAATTCTTAGCTATTTCACTTAAATGTGTTCCATTTTATCTATTGAGCACAAGAAATCGCCCAATTATCTATTTCCACTATCCAATAAAGTGATCGGAAATTGGTATTTGGCCAATTTCACACAAAGTTCAAAAATTCCAGTGTCAAAATGGGGTCCAGATTAAAAGTTCATGGAGGATGTAAACAGAGTGGCATGTGGACACCTTGATAGTGAATCAGGGAGCCATAAAAACAAATTTTTGGTTATACTTTTAAATGTCAGTCTCAGCAAAGTGCCATAAAGCAAAGTGCCGTAAAGTGGGGCTCTCCTGTATCTAGAAGAGAGAGAGGAACCAGTGGTTGGGTTTACAGAATTGCAAAAATGCATCTGATAAGGTGGACAGAGAAATGATACAACTAGTGTTCAAAATGTATGGAAACATTGATAAAACTGCTGAAAGCTGTATACGTATAATATTTTATGAGTAGTAAAACTCAGATCAAGGTGTACAGGAAATATACAAAATATTTTTCAGTAAATGCAAGTCTTGTTAGGTAAGACACATATGCAACAGTTAGGTATCTTTATTTCGAAACGTTTTGCCTACACAGTAGGCTTCTTCAGTCGAGTACAGAAAAGTTGATAGAAGCAGAAGATACTTGAAGACGATGTAATCAGTCCATCACCCTTAAAGTTTTGAGGTGGTCAGTCCCTCAGTCTGGTGAAGAGTATTGTTCCATAGTCTGAAACATATAGACTGAGGGACTGACCACCTCAAAACTTTAAGGGTGATGGACTGATTACATCGTCTTCCAGTATCTTCTGCTTCTATCAACTTCTCTGTACTCGACTGAAGAAGCCTACTGTGTAGGCGAAACGTTTCGACATAAAGATACCTAACTGTTGCATGTGTGTCTTACCTAACAACCTGTCGGTATTTTATACAATTTTAATGTTCAAATGCAAGTCTTGGGTAAAAATGTGTTGTCACTTGTTCAACTGGATAGAAAAATTTTTTTAGAAAAATTACTTAGTGGATCAGAAATGTGGCTTTGAAAAAATCTAATATGCAGGAAGAGTTCTGACAATTTCTTTTTTAAGCAGATAACACTGCTATTTGGAGTTTCAGTTGTAGCAGATATTGTAGGAGCAATGTGTGTGTGTGTGTGTGTGTGTGTGTGTGTGGTGTGTGTGTGTGTGTGTGTGTGTGGTGTGTGTGGTGTGTGTGGTGTGTGTGTGTGTGTGTGTGTGTGTGTGTGTGTGTGTGTGTGTGTGTGTGTGTTGTGTGTGTGTGGTGTGTGTGTGTGTGTGTGTGTGTGTGGGGTGTTGTGTGTGGTGTGTGTGGGTGTGGTGTGTGTGTGTGTGTGTCTGTGTGTGTGTGTGTGTGTGTGTGTGTGTGTGTTGTGTGTGTGTGTGTCTGTGTGTGTGTGTGTGTGTGGTGGTTGTGTGTGTGTGTGTTTTGGTGTTGTTTTGTTGGAGTGTTGTGGGTTTTTGGTGTGTGTGGTGTGTGGGTGTGTGTGTGGGGGTGTGTGGTTTTGTTTCTTTGTTGGTGTGTTGTTGTTTTTGTTGTGGTGTGTGTGTGTGGTGTGTTGTGTGTGTTGTGTGTGGTGGTGTGTGTTGTGGGTGTGTTTGGTGTGTTGTTGTGTTTTTTGTACTCACCTATTTGTAACTCACCTTTTTGTGGTTGCAGCAGTTGAGTCATAGCCTCCTGGCCCCGCCTCTTCGCTGATTGCTACTAGGTCCTCTCTCCTTGCTCCATGAGCTCTATCATACCTCCCCTTTAAAACTATGTATGGTTCCCGCCTCCACTACTTCACTTTCTAGGCTATTCCACGGCTTGACTACTCTATGACTGAAGAAATACTTCCTAACATCCCTTTGATCCATCTGAGTCTTCAATTTCCCAAATTTGTGACCTCTTGTGTCTGTGTCCCATCTCTGGAACTTCCCGTCTTTGCCCCACCTCATCTATTCCGCGCAGTATTTTATATGTCGTTATCATGTCTTCCCTGACCCTCCTGGCCTCCAGTTTCGTCAGGCCGATTTCCATCAACCTTTCTTCGTAGGACAATCCCCGTAGCTCTGGGACTAGTCTTGTTGCAAACCTTTGCACTTTCTCTAATTTCTTGACGTGTGTGTGTGTGCGTGTGTGTGTGGTGTTAGTTAGTTACCATTTTGTCCTAGGCACATGTCGATTAGACACTAGGCCTGGTGTAGGGGTGTAGGTGTGTAGGTGTGTGTTTTGTGTGTTTGTTGTGTGTGTGTGTGTGTGTGTGTGTGTGTTGTGTTGTGTGTGTGTGTTGTACTCACCTAGTTGTACTCACCAGTTTTAGGTTGCGGGGGTCGAGTCCGAGCTCCTGGCCCCGCCTCTTCACTGATCGCTACTAGGTCACTCTCCCTGAGCCGTGAGCTTTATCATACCTCTGCTTAAAGCTATGTAGGAAACCTGCCTCCACTACATCGCTTCCCAAACTATTCCACTTACTGACTACTCTGTGGCTGAAGAAATACTTCCTAACATCCCTGTGATTCATCTGTGTCTTCAGCTTCCCAAATGTGTCCCCTTTTTACTGTGTCCAATCTCTGGAACATCCTGTCTTTGTCCACCTTGTCAATTCCTCTCAGTATTTTGTATGTCGTTATCATGTCCCCCCTTTTTTTTTGGTTTTGTGTTGTGTGTGTGTGTGGGGTGGTGTGTGTTGGTGTGTGGTGTGTGGTGTGGTGTGGTGTGTTTTGTGTGTGTGTGTGTGTGTGTGTGTGGGGTGTGGTGTGTGGTGTGTGTGTGTGTGGTGTGTGTGTGTGTGGTGTGCGTGCATGTGCGGTGTGCGTCATGTGCGGTGGTGGTTGTGTGTGCACGTGTGCGTGCCCGTGGGGTGTGTGTATTTTTTTTTTTTAACAAGTCTGCCGTCCTCCCACCGAGGCAGGGTGAACCCAAAAAAGAAAGAAAATCCCCAAAAAGAAAATGCTTTCACATCATTGAACACTTTTCACCACACTCACACATAAATCACTGTTTTTGCAGAGGTGCTCAGAATACAACAGCTTAGAAGCATATACGTATAAAGATACACAACATATCCCTCCAAAAACTGCCAATATCCCAAACTCCTCCTTTAAAGTGCAGGCATTGTACTTCCCATTTCCAGGACTCAAGTCCAACTATATGAAAATAACGGGTTTCCCTGAATCCCTTCACTAAATATTACCCTGCTCACACTCCAACAGATCGTCAGGTCCCAAGTACCATTCGTCTCCATTCACTCCTATCTAACACGCTCACGCACGCTTGCTGGAAGTCCAAACCCCTTGCCCACAAAACCTCCTTTACCCACTCTCTCCAACCCTTTCGAGGATGACCCCTACCTCGCCTTCCTTTCCCTATAGATTTATTTTTTTTATTATCACACTGGCTGATTCCCACCAAGGCAGGGTGGCCCGAAAAAGAAAAACTTTCACCATCATTCACTCCATCACTGTCTTGCCAGAAGGGTGCTTTACACTACAGTTTTTAAACTGCAACATT